CCCTGCCAGCCTGATTCTTGCCCCCAACTGTCCTGCCTGGCCTGGTTTCCCCTAACTGCCCTCCCCTTGCAGGCCTGGTTGCCCCCAACAGCCCTCCCCTGTGGCCTCATCTCGTCCCAACTTCCCTCCCCTGCCAGCCTGATCTCATCCCCAATGGCGCTCCCCTGCAGGCCTGATCTTGCCCCCAACTGCCCTCCTTTGCCAGCCAATTTGGTTCTGATTGGTCGGTTTCTATGCCAGTCAGCGTCAAAAGCTCTACCTCCCAGGCAGCCATTGGCTCCTCACAGTTCACCCAGATTTGGTTCTGATTGGTTGGTTTCTATGCCAGTCAGCGTCAAAAGCTCCGCCTCCTAGGCAGCCATTGGCTCCTCACAGTTGACCCAGATTTGGTTCTGATTGGTCAGTTTCTATGCCAGTCAGCGTCAAAAGCTCCGCCTCCTAGGCAGCCATTGGCTCCTCACACTTTACCCAGATTTGGTTCTGATTGGTCGGTTCCTATGCCAGTCAGCATCTCTGGGCCTATCGACGGGACCTGATCAGCAGCCCCCGTGGAGGCCTGGAGAGAAATGGAGGCGCGGCTGCTGGCCCAGCCCAGAGTGAAAGAGAGAGGCAAGTGCTGATCAACAGCTGCTACACAGGCTACGGATCAGACCCTGCTTCTCTCTTCAGCCTCTCTCCAGGCCTGATTTGCAGCCCCCTCAGCAGTCAGTGCTGGGTCACCATGCCTGCAGCCGCAGCAGTCAGTGCTGGGTTGCCACAGCAACCCAGCGCTGATTACAGGACTGACTTCCCATTGGTTGAGCCTCTGGTCGTGACGGACCCAGGGTTTTTATATATTAGGATGTTAGGGATCCAGGTAGACCAGGTGTTTGAAACTTTTTCTTTAAAACACATGTCATGACCCATTAGTTGATCATGAAGTCACTTTAGTGCAGGGGTGGGAATCTATTTTCTGCCAAGAACCATCTGAATATTTATAACATCATTCGCTTAATAAGATTTACTTAGTATAAATGTATGTCGCTATGGAAAAGCTCTTAGATTTACTGAATTTTGAGTCCTGCCTGTGGTTGTCTTGGCAGTGCCACACCAAATGATTTCCTGGGCTTTATATGGCCCGTGGGTCGGACATTCCCCATCCCTGCTTTAGTGGGTTATAAGTAGAATTTTTGTTTGTTATACATACAGGGTGTCCCCCAAAAATGTATACACACTTTGGTGAATGATTATAAAGTCAGTGTTTATTAACGTACAGTTCATTTTCAAAATTTAAAAGAATCTATAGAAGTGAATAATTTTTTTAAATCAATGCCCGTTTTCAAACTGATGACCGTTCTGGTCCAAGCACTGCTAATAATGTGAAGCAATGGAATCACAAACATTAAGAAATCACAAACACTAAGAATCATTTCGTTCAGTATTTGTGCACTCTCAAGTCATTGACTGTTGTCACTTTTGTATTGTAAACTTTGTCTTTTATGTGTCCCCATAAAAAAAATGTCTAGTGACACTTTAGGATAAATTTCTTTGTTCAAGGCTTAGTCAGACTTCACCCATTATTTCAAATCAGTTAAACCTGAAAAGGAGTGAAAATTGAGTTCTCAACTGTTTAAATGTGTATACATTTTTTTAGGACAATATATATATATATTTGTATGTCCTCGGTTTCTGTGTAAAATATTTATTCCCCAGGGTTACCATCAAAATTAGTTTGGGAAGATAGCAATTTAGACCAAATCTTACCAAGCATGAAAACGACTTAATTAGCCCTCTCCTTTCATGCTGTCATAAAGGATTCTCACTTTGGTAAATAATCAGTTCTTTCTTCCACCCAGGAGAGATTCTGCACTTATAAATCCTTAGAGGTTAGACTCCTGCATTTCACAGCAGGGCAGGCTTTTTTTATCCAGTCCGAGGAGGAACAAAGACTGAAATGAACAGGACCTAGAACCTTTGGCACTGCTGTTTAAAGTGACTTGGGAAGATTTTGAGGAAGCTGCTGAGTTGGTGGTTTAGAACTAGATTAATATAGGGGACTGGAAAGGTCGTAGAAGGCAGTAAGTGACTCTTGTCTGGGTCATTTTGAAGGTACAAGAGGAAAAAGCTGCTTGAGATTCACCATAGGGCTGGTTAAAGCCTATTGTGGGAGGTGTATGATTTATCCTGTTCCTCTTAATGCAAATTACAGTCTTACTAGGGTCACATAGTGCTGGTAGTTGGGTAATCATTTGTGGAGGGACTTAGTCATGCCTTCGCTTTGTGAGCTGCATATCCACCTAGAGTTGTGTCCTGTTCTACATTTCCCTCTGTGCTATCCCTGTAGCACTGTGCCCTCCGAAACTGGGGAAGGTATTTACGTTCTTAAATTCTATGCCTCCACAAACACTCAGGTGTTTGTGATCATTAAAGCGAGCAGTTTTGCCCTGACCGGTTTGGCTCAGTGGATAGAGCGTCGGCCTACAGACTGAAGGGTCCCAGGTTTGATTCTGGTCAAGGGCATGTACCTTGGTTGCGGGCACGACCCCAGTAGGGAGTGTGCAGGAGGCAGCTGATCGATGTTTCTCTCTCATCGATGTTTCCAACTCTCTATCCCTCTCCCTTCCTCTCTGTAAAAAATCAATAAAATATATATATATTTTTTAAAAAAGCAAGCAGTTTTGTGCTTTTAAGGTCTGTGTTATAACTTATTTTAAACATAGTATATAATAGTTTTTATTGTAAAATTTTAAATTCAGGCTTGCATAATATATCACACATGTGCAAATGACAAATGAGGATATCAGTTAAAGTGGATTTATATAGTATTTTAGTAAAATAGTTATGTAGATCAGGAAGCAGTTTACATAGTTAAGGATATTGTACTTGTGGGAATAGGGCCAGAAACGCATTTTTGTTCTTAGTGCATATTGTGTGGGAAAACACTTGAAGGTAGATACTGTCCTCTTTTATGAAATGTGAAGTGTGGTCTTGGCCAGGGCTGTCGTGGACAAGGTTATGAAGTGAATGATAGGGCACTATGGGAGTTTTGAGGAAGGCAGGGAGTCCAGTGGTGGTGATCAGGGGCTGTTCTTGGAGGGAGGGAGATTTGACCTGGGGTTTTGAAGCATAGATGGAATTTGGATAGGAAAAGAACAATACATGTGACTGAAAGCCTTGAACCAAGGAAATGGTGTGTTCAGAGGGTGGCGAGTGTATGGAGAGAAAAGATGTGACAAAATCTAAAGAAAGAAAATTTAGGAGATGATAGTAGGGGATGGTCGAAGACAAAGGACTTAGAGATGACTGACTAGAAGAATGATGTGGTCTTTGGGGAATGAGTAGGAAGGGCTCTGCTTTGGGGAAGGTGATAGGTCTGGGTTTAAACATGTGGACATCGCAAGTGAAATGGCAAGCAAGGATTTGAAATCTTGGGACACAGCTGTTAACAGATACTGAAATAGTGTAGAAGCATGTTAACAAAACATTGCAGTTGGAGGTCGGAAGACTAGGCATTGAATCCCAGCTCAAATGAAAATATATTGGCTGTGATAGTTTACAAATGGCTTTACAAATGAGATAAGTTGAACACTTTATTTTAAAATTTGATATTAAAATCACTGTAGCAGAGCCTTTCAAAATTAGACAAAATAGTAGTCAAACAGGTATATTCTCCTTCCAGAAGGATAGTGTATAAATTGATTTTTATCAGTTTGATGGTACTTTTTTTCTCTTGTGTAAATTATACTTTTTGAAGTTCCAAAGGCTTTCAACACTTGTGCCTTAAATTTCTTGATCTTCTATCCTCCCCGGGCTAATAGTTTAGTGTTTTTAAAAAACATTTTTATAGATCATTAAAGGAATCCTATATAATAAAAAGCTAATATGAAAATTGACTGAACGGTGGAACGACCAGTCACTATGACACGCACTGACCACCAGGGGGAAGACGCTCAATGCAGGAGCTACCCCCTGGTGGTCAGTGCACTCCCACGGGGGGAGCGCCACTCAGCCAGAAGCCAGGCTCATGGCTGGCGAGTGCAGTGGCAGTGGCCAACTGCGGGCTTAGGCCCAAGGGCTCCCGGACTGCAGGAGGGCGCAGGCCGGGCTGAGGGACCCCCCGCCCCCCAGTGCACAAATTTTGTGCATCGAGCCTCTAGTTTACTAATAAAGGAACAATGAGGCAAAATTTATTTGAAAAGATAAAAATTATTTTGTGATTGGAATGGCCACCTCCCAAATTATCCTGTGTTAAATATACATTCTTCATGTGTTTTCTTATATGGAGACACATTTTTGTCATTTCTTATAAGTATAGCTGAAATTTAATGTTTATTTAATATATTTTTCTTTACTATTTAATTTGTAATGTCATATAAAATGCTGTTGGCCACTTTATTTTACTTAGAGCTACAGTAATTTTGCATTGATAGGGAGCAGTAGCTGTATTCAACCAAGCTCCTAACTTACTAGAGGGATAGCTGAGCTGCTGCAAGTCCAGCCAGATAGACAAGTCAGCTTCATCCTGAGCAGTAGAGTGAGTGACAGGTGGTCTGTCACTTAACCAACAGCCAGAAACATGCTTGGTGCCAGGCACCTAAAGATGAATATGATACAGTTCCTGCCCTTAAGAGGTTTACAGCCTGATTCCAACCAAATTTAGATTTTATATTCTGTAAATAGAAAGGATGTATGTCTAAATGTAATGCACCCTTTATGTAATTGTTCAGAGTCAGTATTTTTGTATTCCTTTGAATTTCTCAGGTCTACCACAGGAAATGCATGTAAACAACCAAACACACCAAAAAGTACCTTACCTGAAAGCTACTGTCCTGAAAGCAATTAGTAACATGTTCTGAGACTTGAGTAATCATCATTAGGTGTTTTTCCAACTCAGACAGAAGCTGAAGTTCTGATGGAAAGCTGAAAGCTGAAAGCTTCCTGTATCAGATTACTCCTATTTGCTTCAGGATAGGACATATATTAAAACATTTAGTTTCTATTTCTAGGCCATGGTTAATTTTAGGCTATTTAGCATATACTAGGATGTTAACCCCAAAAGGGGAGGGACTTGGTCTCTCTCATCTTGATAGCCCAGCATCTAGAACAGTGCCTGGTCCATAGTAGGTTCTCAAATATTTGTTTTCTTCAGCTTGTACAGAGGTAGGGGCAAAACGCCTTTAATTTTAAAAAACTAAAATGTATAATTCTTTTACAGAAAATGTGCTCTCACTGGCCAGAGTAAATCCTGTAAACACAGAATTAAATTAGGAGATTCAAGCAACTATTATTATATTTCTCCTTTTTGTAGATACAGGGTAAGTAATGTAATAATGAATTTTAATAAAGCTCACCGATATGAGACATTTGATATTTATGACATTTTCTCCTTTTGGCCTAGATCACGTCTGTGTGTAACTTTTTTACATACATTCGATATATTCAGCAGGGACTTGTGAAACAGCAGGATGGTAAGTTCTTTATTCAACTATAATAATAAAAGCATAATATTCTAATTAGACCGGACAGCCGAACGACCTTCTGGACATCATTCCAGACATCCTTCCGGATGAAGCTGCGGCAGTGGGGGCCGAGGCAGAGGCGGTTAGGGGCGATCATGCAGGCAGGTGAGCAGTTAGGGACGATCAGGCAGGCAGGCAGAGTGGTTAGGGGCAATCAGGCAGGCAGGCTAGTGGTTAGGGGCAATCAGGCAGGCAGGCAAGCAGTTAGGGGCAATCAGGCAGGCAGGCAGAGAGGTTAGGGGTGATCAGGCAGGCAAGTGAGCAGTTAGGGATATCAGGCAGGCAGGCAGAGTGGTTAGGGGCGAGCAGGCAGGCAGGCAGATGAGTGGTTAGGAGCCAGCGGTCCTGGATTGCAAGAGGGTGCAGGCTGGGCTGAGGGACACCCCCCCGCCACCCGTGCACAAATTTCATGCACTGGGCCTCTAGTTATGAAATATTTATATAACAGTTCAGTAAAAAGTATAGGGCACAGTAGTGATGCTCAAATAAACTTTATTACTGGTATATTTATATTGAGTGTCTTATAGTTCTAATAAAATGTGTGGAGAATTTGGGAACAAATGTCTCTTTTAAAACATATTGTGTTTAATCCTTATATTTGCTTCATTTTACTCTAATTTTGAGTTTTAAAGCAGGCTCAGTTTTAACTCTTAAGAGGTATAGATAAGCCAGCTGGTATGTGAGAGGAGTACAAAGCTCATTGAATTTACTCCTTAAGAGAGAAAAATGAGCAAACTCTGGACGTGGTCAGATTTATTTTAATTGGTGAAAACCATGAGGAGCTAGCAATTTTGTCCTGTATTTTCACATTAATAAAGCAGTCATGAAGATAATTCTGAATGGAATAAAGATTGCTATGTTCTAAATGAGCAGAAACAGGCAGATGATCTATCCAGGAGAGCCACCCTCATGCAGGTATTTTCATGTCTTTCGTGGTTAATGATGGTTTTATAGCCCAGTGTCTTAGGTACCAGCATAAAAACAGATGCGCCTGACAGCTTTAAAGCAGCGCCTCATAGGTACACATGATTGTCTTAGACCGAAGTCACACACATGGCGAGGACAAGGCCATGCCAGTTTTGTATGTGAAGTTGTGGGAAATTTTTCTGTTTATATATTTTTTAGACACTGAAAATATTTTTACACTTGAAAACTAATAAGAAGCCTTCTATTTTTATCAGGTAAACCAGTGAATCTTAATTCTCTGGAAAAATTAGTCATGCCCAAAATAACGTAGTTTAGCATTTCTCAAGCTCTGGTATACTAAAACAGTCATATTTAGTTAGAATCCCATATAATTAGATTTTAATGCCTAAAAGAATAAAGGTGAAACCTGTCTCTAATGTTAAATTTCCAAAGGCTGTGTAGCATAAAAATAGTCTTTAAGCTGTGCAATACTGTTTATGACTTTAATAAAATTGAAGTCTTTTTGAATCCTATTGGTGAATAATAGGACTTAAGCTGGAGAACAGATGATTTATGTTATGTTCAAGTGTCAAGCTTATTTTTTCTCCTTGTTAAAATGGGAAATATTTTTGTAGAGAAGGCTGAAAGATAATTTACTTTATGTAAATAGAAAGAATCATGAGCGATGGTGATAAAAGTAGTTTCTTCTCTGGTTTCTGTCACTCTTCTACTTGACAGTATTTGATGCACGTCATATTCTGTGTGGGTTTGTAGTAAATAAATATTAATGTGAAAATCTGTTTATTGTCTGTGCCGGTGCCAGAAAGAATTTAGAGCAGTTAAAGCGAAAGCAGCGTCTCTCAGCCCTTGTACTGTTAACATTTTGAACTGGATAAGTCCTTGTTGTGGGGATGATCTTGTACATTGTAGGATGTTTAGTGTCCCCGGGCTTTACTCACTAGATGCCAGCAATGAAAAACGTCTCCAGGCATTGCCAGATGAACCCCTGGGGACTGACTCTCCCCTGGTTGAGAACCACTGCTCTAATCAGTCTAATCTGATCATATGTCAGGTTTTATAGTCTGAAATATAGAGCCATCTTTTTGCTACTTACAGAGGGGCTCACAAGAGTAGAGCTAATGGAAATTTACACATCACCCTCTACATTTGTTTTTATTTCTATTTGAGCCGTATATAAAACTTTCCCTTTTAGGCACAAAGAATGTTACTGAGTTCTCTGGACTGTCTTGTTTTCCTTTGTTAGTATTAATGAAAAGTGAAATGGCCAAGATGTAGCAAACTAGAGCAAGAAGATCTAGAAGTTAGATAACTCTTGCATAACTGAGCATTGAGTGTAATTACTTACGAAGGCAACAGCATTGCCATTTACTCAGGACAGTGAAATGTACACCTTCTGTTGGGCTAAAGTGTGGCAGTCACTGATACATCTAACAAATAGTGGTAGTAAACGGCTGAGTACTGCTTATTTATTAATAAAATTGGGGTGCTCACAAGTATATGAAGAAGTTTGTGTGAAGCAGTGATGGAATGTCTAAGCAGTTAGGTATGTCATTAGGAAATGCCAACAGGCATTTGAGTTCATCTTAAATTTTTTTCATTGAAATAAATTAAAAAATAATTAAGATGGTATTTTATAATTTATGTGTCTCTCTCTTTTGTTTGCATAGTTGACCACATGTTTTGGGAGGTTATGCAGTTGAGAAAAGAGATGTCACTGGCAAAGCTGGGATATTTCAAAGAGGAACTCTGATCCTCTGCCTGGGACCATGCACAAACCTCCCTGATACCTGGAAAATGGCTGAATATTTTCATGGTTACGTGATATTTATTTCCACGGTGTGGGCCCAGGACTTTTCCCCCCCTTTGCAAATTACACCAAGAAATACTGTGATTTCTTTTAAACTGGCCTGTGCTGTGTTTGCTTGTTCTTTAGTTGAACACACTATAATGAATTACAGGTGTCCTAGTGATTGTAATTTATAGTCACAAAAAAAAGCTAAATAAATAAATACTAGATCAAATGTGTTTTTGCTTTCTCTTCTAGCTCTGACACAGCATGTGGGGCCAGTTGAATGTACTGAATTATAGTTTTCAAACTTCCCAGCAACCTGTGGGAAGCAAAGAGGAGGGCTGAGTGGACAGGATCAGCTTCTGTCTCCACTAAGATGATTTTGTTTTTACATATTGGAATTCAAAAAAATATTTTATTTAAAGAGACTTCTGTTTGAAAGTCACTGTTTTAATCATTCTGTTCTTTGTAATTTAAAGAATCCCTTTATTATGGTGATTAATCCTATATAATAAAAGCCTAATATGCTAAGTGTCCGGTTGTCTGGTCAAAGTGTAATATGCTAATGATATGCTAAGGCCACTCAACCGCTCACTATGATGTATACTGACCACCAGGGGGCAGATGCTCCAACTGGTAGGTTATCTTGCTGCTGGGGTCCAGCTGATTGGGACTGAGACGGGCTGGACATGCCCTGGAGCCCTCCTGCAGTCCCTCCCCGGCTGACCAACCTCCCGCATCCCTCCCCGGCCCCAGTCGTGCACCGGTGGGTCCCTTGGCCTGGCCTGCACCCTCTCACAATCCGGGACCCTTAAGGGGATGTTGGAGAGCCAGTTTCAGCCCGACGGTGGAACAACTGGTCGCTAGGATGCGCACTGACCACCAGGGGCCAGACGCTCAATGCAGGAGCTGCTCCCTAGTGGTCAGTGTGCTCCCACAGTGGGAGCGCCGCTCAGCCAGAAGCTGGGCTGACGGCTGGTGAGCGCAGTGGCGGTGGCGGGAACCTCTCCTGCCTCTGTGGCAGCGCTAAGGATGTCTGACTGCCAGCTTAGTTGGACATCCCCTGAGGGCTCCTGGACTGTGAGAGGGTGAAGGCCGGGCTGAGAGATCCTTCCCTCCGAGTGCATGAATTTCGTGCACCGGGCCTCTAGTTAAATAGAATAGATAGAGGACAGTCACATCTTATCCCAGAAATGCATTCTTGAACATCTTGATGTAATATATTCCTACTTTGTATATGTTGAGCACTGTAATAGGTGTTGAAAGGATAGAAAGATAAATAAGGAGTTTGATGTGTGCACCAGGGACTTTGAAGGGGAGTGTGGGTTACAGAGTATACACTGTATATAAGCAGAGTATACATTGTTCATAGAATCACTTGATCTCTAAGTTCCAAACTGTAAAACTGACATCGTATGGAGAAATTATTGATTAAAAGTATTTATAAAAGGAAAGTGTTTCAGGGTAGAAATATAGTAAATATAGAAAAGCAAGAAGAAGAAATGACAAATCAATCTCCTCATCTAGAGAAAGCTACTGCTAATATTTTTGAAGAATAATGGCCTTTCAGCTTTCAAATATTTCTTACCTACATGTACATGGTTCTGAAACTAGTAGTAGACTTTCTTACTTTAAAAAGTTAAGTATTTTTCTACACATCTAACCACGCTAAGGTTTTGATTATAGGATGTTAATATCATTTAATTGTGTTTGTAGATTAGATTAGTTTTTTTTCATATTAGAGTGCTGTGATGAGTATATTGTTGGGTTAATTTACTTCTTGTAGATGCCTAGAAGTAAAAGTGTTGGGTCAAGCAAGGTATATGAGTATTTTAAATTTTATCTGTATTGCCCAGTTGCCCTCTAGAAAAGTTGAATCAACTTATATTCACAGCAGCACTGTATGAGAACTGGTATTCAGTCCTGTTTCAAAGGCTTAGTTAGCTTTACCTGTAGAAGTCTCAGTCACCAGGATGGACTGGAGTCCACAGACAAAAGGACATTTGAGAATGATAGAGTGAAACAATAATTACCATGCCAGCTCAAGACTCTGAAATTGAACATGAAAAGAACTTTGACCCTAGAATTTTATGTCCTGATAAATAGGTATTCTAATGTAAGGGCATCATAAAAATGTTCTCAGACTTTCAGAGCTTCAGAAGATTTTCCACACAAAGATGGAAATTAAAAATGCCTTTGGAGAAAGCACTTAAATATAAAGAGAAATCAATCCAGGAGATACTATGCGAGATCTGGGAAGAAAAATGATCAGATACTTAGGGAAAGTTTGTTGACAACTTTAAAAAGCATAAATAAAAAGTAGGACTGCCCTGCCGGGTGGCTTAGTTGGTTGGAACATCATCCTGTACAGTGTACACTAAAAGGTGGTGGGTTTGATTCCTGGTCAGGGCACATACCTAGGTTTCAGGTTAATGCCCAGTTGAGGTGTATGCAGGAGGCAACCAATAGATGGCATATCTCTCTCTCTCTCTCTCTCTCTCTCTCTCTCTCTCTCTCTCTCTCTCTCTCTCTCATTTCAAACCATTTTTTTTAAAGTAGGACTAAAGAAAATAAAGTATATCAGTAACAATCTAGAACTGAATTTTTTTTTATAATTTCAACACATGGAGTGGGAGGAACCAGAGAGCATGAAGACAAAGTTCTTGTCTTGTTAGAAGAAGATGGATATCAATGAAAAAGAGAGAAAAAGGAAAAATTGATGTGGAAATGAAAAGTTAAGATGATGTAACCTCTGGGTTGTACAGCTAAAAGGTGATTTATATGGTATGTGAATTATATCTCAAAGCTGTTTAAAAACAGTTTTAAAAATATGCTCTAAGATGGTGAGATAAACTCGCCAGTGAAAAAGATAGTCAAATTGGTTAAGAAATATTTATAAGATATATTTATAGACAAAGCAGAAGGACATGAAAGTGTTTAAAAGAAAATATAGAAAAAAGACATCCACGAGGATGAAAAAGGTTAAGGGATTAAGAAGTACAAATTGGGCCCTAGCTGGTTGCTCAATGGTTAGAGTTTCAGCCTGCAGACTGAAGGATTGCAGGCTCGTTCCTGGGCCCTGCTCAGGGTGCGTGCAGGAGGCAACCAGTCGATGTGTCTCTCTTGCATCGATGTTTCTCTCTTCTGCCTCTCCCCCTCCCTTCCCTTCTCTCTAAAAAACCAATGGAAAAAATCTCCTCGCGTGGAGATTAACAACAACAACAAAAAAGGTACCCATTAGCAGTTAACAAAATAGTCACAGAGAGTTAAGTCAATAATAATATTGCAATAACCATGTGTGATGCCAGTTGGGTACTAGACTTATTGGGGGATCGCTTCATAAATGTTATAAATGTCTAACCACTATGCTGTACATCTGAAACTAATGTAAAATAATACTGAATGTTAACTGTTATCAAGAAAATACCAAAAACACACACACCAAAACTTGTGTGGTTGTACTGTTATCAGACAAAGTAGACATTAAGACAAATGCAGTATTAGGGTAAGAGATAGTTACTACATAATGCTAAAAATTGAGTTCACCAAGAAGACAGTAAGAGAATAGAAATAATAAAGGAAGGAAATAATAGAAATACATTTTAAAATGCTAAGAGCTAATAGTAAATATCAAAATAGAGGATTCAGAGAAAATAATGGTTCAAGGGAAATTTTATAGTCTTAAATCCTTATTTGTATTTTAAAAATAGGTTGTGTTCAATTAAAGAAGCTACAAAAGAACAGGATAAAGGAGATAAGAGCAGAAGTAGAGAAAACAAGATTGCAACAGAGGGTCAACAATGACTCTGTAAAGGTTAACAAAATGGACAAAAATTTGAGCAGGTTTATGGAAAAAGAGAAAATGCACAAATAACCCTTATTGGGAATGCAAAAGGGTAGTTACTGCATAAACTACAGCTGTTCAATATATGAATATATGAACAACAGGTCAATAGGCTTTACAATTTAGGCAGAATGGAAGAATTTCTAGAAAATGTTATATTTTTATTAAGAAGAAATCAGAAGCCTAAGCAGTCTTAAATAGTATAAAAGTAAGGAAATAGTTAGAAATCTAACCACAAAGAAAATTCTAGGCATAGATGGTTTTACCAAACTGAATAGGTTATCCTAGTCTTACATAAATTCTAGAGAACATACATCTACATCAAAATCAGTATAACCTTGGTGATAAAACCAGATAGGGACAATACAAAAAAGGAAAATTATAGGACCATTTTAGTCATGAATATATATGCAAAGTAAACAATGTGACATATGGACCAAGTGGCATTTAACTGAGAAAAGTGAAGATGGTATATTAGAAAATTTATAAATCTTGCCATTTACAGAATAAAAGTGAAAAACCAATTGATCAATAGGTACAAAATTTTTAATAGAAATGCCCATTAATGATAACTTTCAGCAAACTGTAAGTGGAAGGATATTTTTCAACTTGGTAAAGGATATCTTCAAAAATCCTGAAATAAACACCATCCAAAAGGGGGAAACATTAGAAGCATTCTCTTAAAAGTTATGAGACAAGGATGATCACTATCCTCACTTCCATTCAACATTGTACTAGAAATGCTACCCATTGCTGTAAGATGAGATAAATAAGGTATTATTGGGAAGGAGGAAGTAGAACTGTCATTATTTGCAGATTATGTGATTGTCTACATAGAACACCTCCCCCCCCCCCAAAGTCTTCCATCAAATTATAATAATAAAAGCATAATATGCTAATTAGACCAGACGTCCTTCAGGACAACCTTCTGATGAAGCCAGGGCTGCGAGGGAAGCCCTGATCCTGGGTGCCAGAGGGAAGCTGGGGCTGGCAGCCAGGGGAAGGAAGGCCTACTCTTGCACGAATTTCGTGCATCGGGCCTCTAGTTAGACATAATTGAAGAGTTTTGTTAGGTGGCTAAATATAGGATCAATATATAATTGTGAGTTGTATCTGTATACACCAGCCACAAACAATTAGAAAACACAATTTTTAAAAAGATACCAAACAATTGTGAAACAATTCTAATGTGTGTAGCAACAAATCTGATGAAATAGGTGCCAGATCTGTATACAGAAAGTTGTAAAATTTTACTAAAAGGCATTAAAGAGGACTAGAGTGTTTCTATGTTCATGAGTAGGAAGACAATATCCAAAAAAAAGTCAGTTCTCTCCCAAATTGATATATAGATTTAATGTATCTTCAAACTAAATTCCAAAATTTCTCCT